CAGGCAGGCAGCTGGGAAGCAGAAAGCAGCAGCAGCGGCATCAGCAGCAGCAGCGTGAGCACAGCAGGAAACGCGACACGAGCAGCAGCACAAGCTGACAGCAGCAGCAGCAGCAGGAAAGGCAAAGGAAGCCCATATATCTTGTAAGCAGTGCCTAATCACCAGTGCGTAGATGGGAATGTTGGAGAAACATGAATTCGCAGCAGCAGCAGCAGAAGCAGCAGCAGCTGCTGCTGCTACTACTGCAGCAAACGCAAAAGCAGAAGCAGCTGCTGCTTGCTTCTGTTGCTGCCGCCACTCCCGCGTCTTAGCTAAAGCCAGCAATGCTTCAGCAGCGGCAACATTTGCTGCTGCGGGCGCTGGACGCAGCAGAGCAGCGGCTGCAGCAGGAATGCAGCAGCAGCGTGTCTTGACAGGATTTGCTCACAAATCCAGATCGACAGCTGATCCGCTAGATGCTGCTGCTGCTGCTGCTGCTTCCTCTTGCTGCTGCTGCTGCCGCTGCTTGACCAACCGCAAACGCTGCAGCACCTCCTCTTCGCTCAGGGGATGGGTAGGGTCTGGCAGCAAGGACGGCAGCGGGGGAGCAGCCCGCAGTTCCCTGCAGCAGCGAAACGCACAGAATTGCTGCTGCTGCTGCTGCTTTCCGGAAGTATCCAGGCCCGCAAAGGAGTGAGAGCAGCAGCAAGCTCAGCAGCTTCCAGCAGCAGGAATGAGGCTGCTGCAGCTCCAGCAGCGGCAGGAACGGCAGTTGAGTAGCAGCAGCACCACAGTGGCAGCAACCTCGGCAGCAGCAGCAGCAGCAGCCTCAGAAGCAGCAGCAGCTCACTTCAGAAACTTCAATTTGTCTTCTTTGTCCTTAAGGCCGACCCAATCAAACCACCGCACGCGACGAATATCCCATCCGAGATCACTCAGCACTCTGGAAAAATTAAAGAAAGAAAAAAAAATGAATATGCAATTGGGCAAGACATTGGTAAACAAATGCTTAATAAAAACAATGAAGCCAGAAGCACTCGCGCTAGCAGCAGCAGCAGCCCAAGGAGCAACGGAAGCAGCTGCATGCGCAGCACAGCAAGCCTTGACCGGCACATTATTAGCAGCAGCAGCAGCAAGAACCGCAACAGCGGCAAATCCCCCAGCGGCGACAAAGTCTGCAGCAGCAGCAGCAGCTACCTATGTTGCAGCTTCACAGGCTCTGTGTACTGTGTGGTTGAAGTGTAGAAGGCAGCAGGACCATCTACAAAAATGCAGCGCCTCTTATCCTCCGCCTCTCCAATATCAATCCAGAAGCAACCCCAACTGAAGCAGCAGCAGCAAAAAGACGAAACACGCGATCAAACGCAGCAGCAGCAGCAGCAGCAGCAGCAGCAACGTAACGGCAGTACCCACTGCAGAAGCAAAAGCTACGCAACAACAGCAACTCCCGCACCAGCGGCAATAACACAGCAGCAGCAATTGCTGCAGCAGACAGTACCAATCACTGCAGCAGCAGCAACAACGCAACAGGTGCAACCACTGCAGCAGCAGAAGCAATGCAAGGCAGCAAACAACGCAGCAGCAGCAACTGACTGAAATGTGTTGCGGTGAGCAACGCCGAGAGCAGCAAGACAGTCCGAAACCTCCCAATGGAAAGGCGAAGGGCGACGCACAGGGTAGGGAATACGGCGCAAGCTGCAGCAGCAACAGCAAATGCAGAAGCAAAATTGCGGGAAGGAGCAGCAGAGATGCATGCAGCAGCAGCAGCAACCGCACGTGCTGTTGCAGCTGCTGCAGCGTCACTTCTACAGCTGAAGCCCTAAGCTGCTCATCCTCAAGTCAAGTAAGTCCCCGCAGCTAAATGTCAAACCCTCAGCCCCGAACTCCAAGCTCCAAACCCTAAACCCCAAACCCTAAACCCTAAACCCTAAACCTGCCTCAGTCTGGCGTAGAACTGCCGAACTTTGCGAGGAAGAGCTGCCCAAGTCTGCGGCTCTAGCACTCGAACAGCAACAGCTGTCTGCAGCGCCTTCTCTAAGTGCGTAGGACGAGCGCATATAAACACCCTGCAGCAGCAGCAGCAGCAGCAACAGCAGCAGCAGCAACAGCAGCAGCAGCGTCAGCAGCAGCAGCGGAATGAATGCGGCAGCAATGGAAGCGCGAATAACACGATATAGCCGTAGCTGCTGCAGCACTGCCAAGCGCATCGGTGGGGGCCATGACTAGCATGTGCAGAAGCAAAAACAGCGCAGCAGCAGCAGCAACAGCAGCAGCAGCAGTAATGGAAACAGCATTAGCAGCAGCAGGAGCAGCAGCAGTACCACACACTAAGACTTTGTTGGAAAGCCAATAAAAGCCTTGAGGCTTAATTAGTGACCATCGCAGAAAGGCTGCTAAGTTGTGGCTAGCCCTAAACCCTCAAACCTAAACCCTAGGGGGCTCTAAACCCTACTTTGAAAATCTTTCCATGACAAACATTTTCAGGGGCTGCGTGTACAGCCCAATCGCTGCAACCGGATGCATGCAGCCCCGAAACTGCAGCGAGGGAGCTTCTTTGAGTGCATGCAGCAGCACTTCGCTGAGGCGCTCTCTAAGAGATGGCGGGCAGACCCCCTAAACAAACGAAAAGGACAGGAAAAAGCTGCTGCTGCTGCTGCTGCTGCTGCTGCTGCTGGGTGCTGCTGGGTGCTGCTGCGTTCGCTGCAGAGAATGGAGCAAGGGCAATAGTTGCTGCTGCAGCTAAGGCAGCAGCAGCAGATGGAGGTGGAAAATTGAACACATTTAGGCAGCAGCAAGTGATGGCTACAGCAGCAGAACCAAATGATATAATAACACAGATTTGCTGCAGGTAAAAAGATAGGGAAAAGGATAACAAGACAAACGACACCGAGATAAAAAGACGCAAATAGGCACAGAAGGAAGAAAAAAACTAAAACCACAAAGAGTGAAACGGAAAAATCAAGACAGAAAGCAAGAAGAAACCAAAGAAGCAAAAATAGGGAGAGAAACTCATCAGAAAAAAGAAAATGAAGGACGCAAAAGTATTAAATGATAAGAGGCGGAAAACGGACTCCAGAAAATTCAACAAATGGACATTTTTGTGAAAATAAGTGGCCTCAGAAAGATATTCCAAAAAGAACCAAACAGATCAAACAAAATAACTAAATGGCAAATAAATGCTGCATTTAAAGGAGAGAAAGAAAAAGAAAACAAAGCAAAAACTCACCAACTTCGCCAGACCCACTGCAACTTTTATGAGATCTCCTGGCCTCATGAGCGGGGCCTTAAGCACTGCTTCCTGTCCCACCTGTACGTACACCCGGACGCAGCAAAGCCCCAAAAGAACTGCATGCGGAATTAAATAACAAATCCACAAAATGTCAAATTCAAATTCGTGAAATTCGAATTTGTTAAATGCAAATTCAAAAGTAGGCCGAGCAGGATTCGAACCCACGACCACCCGGTCCGTAGCCGGGCATTCTATCCAACTGAACTATCGGCCTGAAGTGACCCCAAACCCTAAACCCTAATATTCAAACCCTCGAGCCTGAACCCTCGAAGGTAAAACCCACAGCCTAAACCCTAAACCCTCAAAGCCGACCCCAAAGCCCTAAACCCATGCCCAGAACGCACGTTTCGCAAGCCCAGTCACTGCTCCCTGTAGCCCAGCCCCAAACCCTAAACCCTAAACCCTAAACCCTAAACCCTGTCCCAAACCCTCACCTGCGTCAGTGCATCCGAGTGTCTAATGTTGACTCTGCTGAGGGCCCAGGGCACAGTCATCAGGGCGTGGGAGTTGAAGTCATCGAGAGAAGCCAAAGAGTATCTCAAAAGAGATGAATAAAGAACAGGGTCAAGAAACTTGGACTTGCCAAACCTTCGTTTAAAGCCCGCACACATGCACACACACAGCCCCGCATGCAGCGGTGCATGCATTGCCCACTGCATGCATGCATGCGCTGCATGCATGCACTGCGTGCATGCATGCAGTGCACGCATGCATGCACGCAGCTGAGCCTCTTAATGGCCTCTAAATTCGCACTCTTAACAATTATAACAGATTTATATAATAGAAAAATTACACATTTTTTAGTGCAATTGTAGTTAAGAAATTAATAGGTGATAAGAAGCTAGAAATACCAGATAAAGCTCTACCTTTTGCAGGTTGTTGCATTAATTCATTTATTTATAAAATTTAGTTTAGGATTTCCTGTTTTAAAATATTGTTTAAAACCTCTTTCACATTTATCTTGCTCTCGAAATCCTTTTCACATTCCTCTGCAAGAGAGGCACCGGAAGAAATGCAAGAACTGCTGCAGCGGAGAGGCGGAAATAGAAAAGGATTTAAAGGGGAAAGTTAAAAAAAACGAAAAAGCAAAAAACGCCAAAAGATAAAAAATGAATAAAAAAAGAGAAAAGACAGGCTCAGCGGCCAAATGCGAGCAGAATGAAAGTCAATGCCCTACTTAACTCATTACCCAATTATCTAATTAACGAATTAATTAATGAATTAACAAATTAATTGATCAATTAATAATTTCAATTGCATAATTAGTTAATTAACTAATTAATTTATTGAATGGGATTGTCTTCTTAAATGTTGCAACAGCGGCATTTACGGCCACGCCACAGTCAATCTACTTTTCGTGGGCCAAGCTTTAAACCCTAAACCCCGAACCCTAAACCCTAAACCCTGAACCCTAAACCCTAAACCCTAAACCCTAACTCAAGTCTAGGATCTCACCCGTAGAAAAGGTAGCCCAGCTGCTGCGGTGTGCAACTGTCTGCCACTTGCTGCGCCCGTCGAGAGAAGCCAAACCTGAACTCAAGAGCGCCTAAACCCTAAACCCTCACGCGTAAACC